GACTCCGTAAGCCAGTAAGAATGTAGCTTTCTGATTGGGTTCTAGTCATGCGGTGAATGTCTCAGAGTGCCTTGAGACAAAAAGCAGTATAAACTTTAATCTTTCCCAGTGCATTCCCTTTTCCTCAAAGGTCAATCATTTATGCTCTCTTTGCTCACTCTCCAGTGCCTTCAAATAACTGTCTTTTATACCTCATCTAGAGTTTATAATTGTCTGGGGAATATTCATGAAAGAGTTAGATACATGCTACTACACCATTACCAGAAGTTGAATCTCTCTTTTCTACAACAGTTTAATCTACCTAAAGGTATCCCTTTTCAGAGGAGTGATACAACAGACTTACAAAGACCCTTCTTTGTTTATTTTTGGTGAGTTCCACAAAGGAAAGGGCTGATAGTTCACGGTCAAACTATGTGTCTATTACAATAGCAAAAGTGAAATTTATATGAGATCTGCTTTGTGCGTATAATTTAAACTTATGTCTTAACAGAATTGACAAACAGAAGGATAGCCAGTGAAGAATAGCTTCGAGGTTACTCTTTTATACTAATGGATTTGTTAATTCAGTTGGTAGCCTTAAGCTGGGACTAATTTTCTTATGCCATAAAATGAGAGGCATGGAGACACACTTTCACAGAGAAGGATACCATGAATAGTTTTTTGTTAAGTATAAAATGTTTAAATCTCTTTAAGAAAAATATTATACAAATAAAAGTTATGTCTTACAAGTGAAATCATTTTCTTCAGTCTTCTAAACAACATTGTTCTTTCTGCTGTTGTGTAACTGGTATTTAATGATAATACTATTTGCATTTTAAATTACTTTGTGTGCTCTGGATATTTACTCTGATCACAAGAAGTATATTGCCTCGGAGAGGGTGTTACGCTGCTGTCATAATTAACTCTCAATTAAAAGTTCTGTATGAAATTAGAAAATAAAGAAACAATGTTTGTTCATACAGCAGAAAATTAATACATAATTTTCTTTTGGTTTGTTTTGATATTCTCTACCATTTCCTTAAAGACAAGATTATACTATCTTCAATTATATGTTCTTAAGTATTAAACTGAAAGCAGATTATTTCTTTGACCACAAACAAAGAAGTTTTGATAGGCCTGTTGGAATTTGTCTACGTCCTACCACTCTATTGGAGTCCCTGGGTGGTGCAAACAGGTAAGTACTCAACTACTAGCCAAAAGGTTGGCACCCAGAGGTGCCTCAGGAGATGGGCCTAGTGATCTGCTTCATAAAGGTCACAGCCTTGAAAACCCTAAGGATCAATTCTACTCTGCACACGTGGGGTCACCATGAGTCAGAATCGACTCAATAGCAACTAACAACAACGACTATCACTCTATCATAACAACACAAGGCACTTAGTTTATTTTATAGTTATAGTTCCCACTTGCCCTGCTGCTTTTTTTCTTATACTTCATTTCAGTAACAAAATTTTACCTGTGTGAACTATATATTTTTTTTGTTATAAATTATAACCAAAATTTCTCCCACTCATAATAGCTTCCTAATCCAATTGTAATACTAATGTTCACGAACTAAAACCACCTGTTATACTTGTATATATTTTATTAGACAGTTGTGGCACTATTATCTTTTCATTAAAAGAATTGTTATCTATTTTAGATATTCTAATAACAAAAATGTAAGCTAGAATTACAAAATATTTTTAAATGAATATGGAGTAATTTTATAATGTTACAAAATATAATATTTTTGAAGTGATGTAAAAATAATGCACATATATTAGGTAATTTTTAAAAATGCATAATTCAAAAATATTCAATGGAGAAACAAACGTGGTAGGTATACTCTACAGAATATCAAGAAAAAGTAAGACAGTGCTGTAAAATTTCATGACCAATTTTTCCATTTACATAGTTAATGTACAAACTAATATAAATTCAAGTCATAACCTGGAGCAAAAGAGTATACTATTCAGTATTACTAATACTTTTTAATTAACTTGAACATGCTTAATATTTATTCTGAACAGAAATATATGCTATTAGATCAGCAGTGTTGCTACAGCTTTACTAGTTAACAAACAATAATAATTTATTAACACTATTATTATTTAATATACAAATATTAAATGAAAATACAAACAATATATTTGAATATAATAAAAAAGCATACAATTTTATAATATTTAATATTTATATAAAGCAATATAAATAGTATTTGATATAAATAAATATTAAATATATAAATATTAGTACTAATTTTAAATCAGATTTAATTTAAGAAAAAATTTAAAACCAGTTCTGTTGGGTGCCATACCACACAAAGTTGTTTATTTAAATAACGAAACACACTCTCAGTTCTCTATGGTTAACATTTTGCTGAAAGAAGCAAACAGTAGGCATTTTAGAATCTTTGAAAAATTGTTGAATTTATTTACTACCAGAAACTGTCATTTCGGGTATTTTGAGAAAGGACATGAAGTACACTTTTGGGGGAACCTTGGGTCTAAGCATGTTCTTCTTCCAAAAACTCATTGCCGTCGAGTCAATTCCAACTCACAGTGACCCTGTAGGACAGAGTAGAACCGCCCCATAGGGTTTCCAGGGAGCAGCTAGTGGATTCAGACTGCTGACTTTTGGTTAGCAGTTGTAGTTCTTAACCACTGCACCACCAGGGCTCCTCGTGTTCTTCCTAGGCAGGTGTAATGCCGAGGCAGTGACCATCTTTTGGGAGCAGAAAAATTAGGACGAGGATAAAATTTGAGGCCAAGCCGTAAATACGGGCGATTTGTGATTCATTCACTTCCAAGAGTTAGTTAGAGAAAATGTGTATTTACTTAGGTCCTAATTACTTTATTCCAATTAAATTTTCAAAACATGCTGAGCACTATCGTTTTGAGAGCCAAGGTACTAGGTACTACAGACAATGAAATGTTACTGCCTGTCCTAGGGAGACTAATCTTGTCGAATAGTTACAGAATAAGGCAGAAGTTGATAAGAGCCAGGAAAAGGTAGAAAGAAAGCTTTGCAGGCTCTCTGAGAAGGAAGTGAATATATCTGTAATAACACTGGAAAAGTAATTTAGACTCATACTTGGAAGGGGTTGCCAAAATTTGGAAATAATTTGTAAACTAATTCAATAATACTAGGGATTCATTACTGAAGTGATATCACAAGTGCATGATTAAATTTCAATATTCTGTCTCAATGGTTTTAATGTTATTTAGCTAAAGGTTTGTGGCAATAAATTATCCAGTGACTTTGATTCTAGATCAATAAAACTGATAACAAAAGTAGAATATATTATGAGCTGCATGTTAAAAATAGAAGGCATTCATTTAAGATGAACGGAAAAAATGTTAAATACATGTTTTGGTCCAGTGGCTACACTAATAATAACAGATAATTAGTGACTATAATAGCAAGGATATTTTTAATGATACAAGTTCTATAATCTTTTATCTGAGACATAAATCTAGCTTTTAAGTCTCTTATAAAGTAAGATCATCCCATTGAACTCAGAGTTTAGTGTCATTTCTACGTCTATTGTTGATTTTCACTATACTATGAAATAAGTCCCTTGGGTATCTATTTCCCCGTTGTCCATGAATTAACTATTATAAGGTAAATCCTTGTCATCAAATAGATGTTTGCAATGTAATGTAATATAAAGATTATTATTAATTATCATGTGGGTACCTGAGTAGCTTTCTGTATCATTTATATATGCTTAGAACAATGTTTTCCAGATCCTCAGAACATAAATTTAGTCTTATATGAAAAGAGTTTCATTGCCAAATTAATTTGGGAAATTTAACATTAAAGATACTTGTGTTTTAACTTCAGATTGAATCAAAATTTCACTTGTTATTGCACATTGTGACTTTTCAATAAAGGATAAAATATATAGGATTTTATTAACTTATTTAACAACAGGAACTTTTTATGTATACATAAAATACATATGCATAAGTACATGTAAAAATATTCACCAGAAATATTTTCAGCATAATGGGACATACAGTTATCGAGTAATCTGGTATGCATTTCTAAGAATTCACTAAAATTGAAATTGATTCCTGCCAAACGTTCTTGGTTCTTCCCTAAATGTGTTTGCTGTTGTTCTGTCTGAACTTAAAATGATCTCTGAAGGAAGAGTGCGGCTACAATTTATGGTAGATACAGTTTTTGTGAAGAAAGTAAAGTCCAGTGAAGGGAACAATCTGACTGTGATCTTCCTTTCTAGTTTCCCACTTTTCCTCTTCTTTAGAGAATTCAGTATAGCAAAGACATTGCCCCATCCGTGTGCTAGTAGTTAAAAACACATTGGTGTATGTCACTGATCACCAGCAGGACTTGCCCATTTGAATCACTAGGAGAGGCTTAAAAAATACCAATACCCAGACCACACTCCACACCGGTAATCAGTGTCTGGGCATGGGGCCCCAGCATTGCTTTGTGTGTGTGTGTGTGTGTGTGTGTGTGTGTGTGTGTGTGTGTGTGTGTGTAGGACAGGTGATCAACATATACAGCCAGGATTAAGAAGTACTGTTGTAAATATACACAGAGACTGTGTGGAAGTCTAAGCTTCTTACTGTATTTTAATCAACAGTTCTCCAGTGAGGCACAATATGAAGGGAGCCTCTTCCGCTGCTCCTGAACTTATTTAGTGCTTCCCCCCCCCCCCAGAACTCTAATTATTATCATGTATCTTGGACTGTATGATCTATGCATTTTCTAAGTTAAAGGGAATTTTGTATTACAGAAATAGTGTTTCACATACAAGGTAGTAGGTTTAGTGATTAAGAGTGGTAGCCTTTGAGTTAGGCCTGATACTGGGCATTGTGTTGCCATTAAAAAGTTACTAAACTCTTTTCTTTTGTTTCTTTAACTTCAAATGAAATTAGAAAACAGTACTGACTTCCTGTGTTGGAGGTGGGGATTCAGTGATATAATTAATATAAAGTATTTAGTAAATAACACATTTCAGTTATTTATCATTGTCTTCAACACCCTTATCATCACATTGGCAGATAAATAAATAATACATCTGGAGGTTCAAACAGTTATGTTTCTCTAAACTAATTGGAAAGTCACCAAGATGTTACACAAAGCTGTGAAGCTGTGTCTATTTCATAATAATGGTTACTCTTCTGAATAGAAATTCAGATAATTCTAAGATCTAGCTTCAAGCAGCCTCTCTTATTTTTCAGTATAATCCAAAATAAACAACTTTAAGCCCATATCACATTGAACTACAACCATGCTTTGAATACAACATGCCCATCCCCATCTTTATTCTTGTACTCTTTTCTCTATCGATCGACATTTCTACCTGTAGAGATCCTAATGATCATTTAACATCCAGATGAATCATCTGCTTCCTCCATGAAGATTCCCCCTGCCTAAAAACTCTGTCCACACTCGAGCTATCATAGTGCTTGGATTGGATTTATAATCTCTCTCAAATCAATTCATTGATAACATAAAATTTAATCAATATACAAGAGACAAGACTATTCCGCAACCCAACTGAAAGAAAAGTTTTTCTACTACTTGAATCTAAACATATTTTTAAAATATTCAAACCTTCTTCAATTAAAACCCACAACAGTACTTCAAGTCAGAGACGTATAAACTATTGGAATAGTATTTCTTCCCTTTCAAGGACAGGAATATTAGCTTCTTGCTATTGCTGATACATTAACTTAAGGCAAAAGTAGACCAAGAATAATTTAAATAAATCATTTAAGATTGAATATGACATAGATTGGACATCCCATTAAGGCTACCAACAAATCATTGTCCATTCTAGGTAAAGAGGAAGGAGATTAGAAAATTGAAAAATTTTGAGGACTTTGCCCTGACAGCATGTCCCTTATACCAACGTTGGGGGTGTTTGCAGAGTTCTGACGTTACCGCAGCGGTCCTGACCTACCTAACACTAGCGCTGCTGCCTCCAGGGATGCGCTTGTGCGAGTGGTGTCTTTGACGGACAATTGTGATTATCCATAGACATCTCTACTCTCCCATTATGACTGTCAAATCCATTATTCTTCATGAGAACCTGGCAGAAGCTGACTGCATGCACTCTGTAGGCTACATTTAATTATGTTCTACTAGTAAGCTGGGATATTTCATATCGTAATAACAATTGCTCGGTTCACATGTTTTCTTTTGGGAGGCCAGTCCTAAACAAAAGTGCCATGTTAGCTTTCTGACCATAATGCCATGATACCACCTTTAACTGAAATGCTCTTTATTAGTGTCACAAAAGCATTAGACTGCAAAGCTGGGTCATTGTCTCCAGAAGCTCCCATTGTAATACCTGCACAGGGGAAATAAACAGAAATGATATGATTCTTGGGAAAAAAGCCAGGAAGGGACACTTTCCTGGGTAATAAACACCAGACAAAGGGCAGAGCGGAAGTGTAACCATAGGCTAGACATTTTACAGGTAAGGGCAAGATGTTAAAATAATTCTTCTGTATATCAAGCCAAACATTGTGATGGTCCTCTCTTTATGCTTTAAATTCTTCACAAGTGCTTTTATTTGAAATGATAATCAAGATTGTTTCTGTCCTTTAAATTCTGAGATGTAAAATTCAATATCGCTGAAATCCAATATACTTTTGTTAATTTGCAGTCAATAATTATTCTAATACAGACAAAAAGGTACATTTAATTTACCGGATTAAAGCAAGACAGAGATGCGATACATAAATAGGGAATATTTTAATTGTTCTTTCTTGCTATGCTTGGGAAGGTAGACATTAGACACGATCTTAGAATCATGGAATAGTCCAAATTCAAAGACAAATGATCATTCTTTCTTATGATGCAGCAGTAGGAAACACAATTTTAATTACTTCTTTTCCATGTTCATTCTACTTTGTTAACTTCTTAGAAAGATAAGTATGCATAAAATATAACTCAGTTGTCTATTCTACAACATATGGTTCATGAATACCACTTCAATTTTGCCTAAATATTGTATTTTACTTAACAAAATCTGTAAAATTGTAATCAAAATTCTGTAATAGAGACTATTAAAACAAAATGCCAAAAGTCATAGCTGAAAAATTCAACAACTTTAAACAACCTACTAATAAATATTTATATATGGATGTTTGCAAAGAATATAATCCTTTGGCAATTGGAGTAGGCTAAGGGGAAAAGAAGGCGCCCTAATGGCACAGTGGTTAAGCACTAGGCTACTAATTGAAAAGTTGGTGATTCGAACTCACCAGTGGCTCCACAGGAGAAAAAACCTGATGGTCTATTCCCATAAAGATTACAGCCTAGGAAACCTATGAGACAGTTCTACTTTGTCCTACAGGGTAGCTACAAATTGGAATTGACTGGACGGTACACAACAATAAGGGGAAAGAGTTACTATTTCTTATACTTGTATTTTTATTTTTAATTTATGTCTTGTTCTTACTCCACATAGGCTGTAGGAGAAAATCTGAATACAGGAGTTTTTTTGTCCATAAATCAGTTGAAATGTGCTAAGGCTTCTTTTCACATAATGAATTGATACATTTAGTCACTTACATACATGAAAACCTTTTCTTCCCTCCACAATGGGATTCTCAGTCTTCTCTTTATTTCTAACTATTGCTGTTTATGTGCCATATTACTTCTCTAATTTCCTTTTATCTTTTCTTTATTTTGCAATGTCTCAGAACGTGTCTCTTTAAGACAAGTTAATTTAGCCAATTACTCCAGTTTGGTTGAAGATAAAATCTTTAATTTATCCAGGCTTCCCTTTATTCTTTCTAGGATACTTTTTCCATTAATTTCATGAAACATTCTAATTCTCTAGTTTAGAGAAAAGTTACTTTCGTCCGTATACACGCACACACACACACACACACACACACACACACACACACAGTCAGGTGCAAGCCAATATATACTTACAGCTTCCAAACATCTTTTTTCCTTTTCCTTTGTTAGCTAATCACTTTTTTCTTTTTTTTTTTTTTTGCCTTTTCAAGGTATTTGAAATACTAATGGATTGCAAATTGAAATATATACTTATATTTAACATGTAGTATAAGATATTTAAACTATTTTAACTCATTTGCATATTAGTAAAACTAAGTTTCAACTCCTTTGTTAAGAGAATGTTTTGATAGAATAAAGTGTGAGGACCTAGGATGCATGAATAAATGTTTGGGGGAATGGGGAATTATTACTGAGAAAGGTAAAGAGAGCAGTACAGAAAGTTTGGAGCACTTGAAAACAAAAAACGTCTGTTTTTTTTTTTTTCAGTTAGCTATTTATTAAAACATTGCACATACTAGTTACTGTTTTAGGTGTAAAGGCCAATAAAAAATTTCATTCCTGATCTTAAAGAGTTTACAATCGAGTTGGGGAGAGAGGTATGATATATAAAATGATGTGTGTGCTGTATGAATACTTGTAAGGAAGTAACCAACCCTAGCTACGGGCCAGTTTCCAAAAGAAGGGACATTTGAACTGGGTCTTGAAGATGATAGGAACAGCTTGAAATTACCTATTTTGTTGATTTCATACTTTTGATGTATTCTCTAAGAAAATTATTAACATAGGTATTTCCTGTATAGTTTGACATGTCTAAATATCTTCTTTCCTATATGTATATGTACTGCTTCTGCTTCTAATTCATGATGACCTAGAGGAGATGACACCTGTTTCAGGAATTCAATTTCATTCCTAAATATATGATATCTGCTGCTTTCATGCATAAATGATTTCTTTCATTCATACTGTATAAGTGATAAAAATGACACTGTATAAATTATAGCTCCCAAATACAACTCTGTTGATTCAGATCATAAGAAGATCATGACAATAGAAAATGTATTACAGATAACCAAATATGTGAATATTTTGTTTGTGAATATGTTTATTTGTTTTTAATTCTGGGGTCATAATATTTGAACACCTTTACCAATTCCCTTGACTGTATCCTTCCTGAATGAGTTACATTTTGTTCCCCCTCACTCTCAGAGCACACTGTTTGGACCTCCTAATACATTGCCACCACTTTAATGCTTGCCTTAAGCTCTACCTTCTAGAGTGCCAAGGATAACATAATTGGTGCCTCAGGATGGGACTTTGGATTGGATTACTTAGCTCTCTGAAAACCAAAACCACTGGCATTTAGTGACATCATAATTACTTAAACATTCAACTGTGCTTAATTAGCTGATGTGCAAGTGGAGGGCAAGGCATTGAGAGGCCAAAGACTGTGGCACTTAATAATTATGAAAACTGTATTATTTATGATTGTGATGTTGGGAAATTACTTCTGACAACAATAGACACCTTACATATAATAGAATAAAAAAGCTTAGGGCAGTTACTTTCCAAATTAATACATAATCAGAAAGTCAGAGGACACTAAGTTCTGAACTTGCTAGTTTTTCTATAACAAAGTTAGGACCTTCAGAACGAGAGTGGGACACTGACACCTGAGATGGACAATGGGTAGATGGAACCTGACAAAATAGAACCTCAAAATTATAACCTCTCTGTATTGTCAGAAAACATACTTCAGTCTCCCCTTACCTGGAGATGATGCAATGACCTCACATGATGCAGATGCCCTGTAAAATGACACTTATTCTTTTTACAATATGCCTCCATCACCCTACATTGCCTACAGGCCATAATCAAAGTCTACTCTCAGCATACTCTATTAAGGGGAAGTCAAAGCTAAACTCCAGGAAGAAATCATCTACCTTGGAAAAGTAATAGTAGCTGGCTAATATGCACTTGCAAGACCCTGGGAAGTATGTATGGGTTTGAGTCTTGAGACTTAAACTGAGAAGGAAGGTGGAATACAAGACTAGATAGGCTCAGAATCTCAGGACTCAGGATTTAATACTTTAGAAAGGACTATTGGAGTTAGGCAATAGTTTTCTGAAATTACACCTAGAAGCCTGGACTCAATGATGGCCAAGAGTAAACAAAGCGGGCATGCAAGAGGTTAAAGAGGGATGCAGAAAGTTCTAATATATGAAAACGTTATACTGTTATAACATTATAAATGTTATAATGACTTTCTATGTATAGTTCAGGAACCCACCATGTAACCAAGTGATATGATGAAGGATCCTCTGTTCATTAGGGCAGTAAGGAAATGCACTATTGGAGGCAGAAGGGGAGTGCTACAGTCTTTGATAGCTTGGTAATGACTATCCTCTAGGCTGAGATTTTTAGTATTTAATGATGCCATTGACCTGGAATCTGGTAAGGCAGAGGTCATGTGTGTTAGTTATCTAGTGCTGTTACAACAGAAATATCACAAGTGGGTGGCTTAACAAACAGAAATTTGTTTCCTCACAGTTAAGGAGGCTGTAAGTCTGAATTCAGGGTACTGGCTCTAGGGGAAGGCTTTCTTTCTCTGCTGGCTCTGGAGAAAAGTCCCTGTCTCTTCTCAGCTTCTGTTCCTCAGTTCCTTGGTGATCTTCATGTGGCCTGGCATCTATCTTCCCTCATCTCTGCTTGCTTGCTTGCTTAATCTGCTCTTTTACATATTAAAAGACATTAATTTAAGATGCATCCTACATTGATACTGCCTCTTTAACATAACAAAGAAAACTCATTCCCAAATGGGATTATAACAACAAGTATAAGGGTTAGGATAAACAACACATATATTTGGGGGACACAATTCAATCCATAAACCAGGTAAGGGTAGTTAATCATCAGAATCAAGATGTATATAAGCACCACAAAGGACAGTGAGGCCTGACTGGCAAACAGGCCTTGACCATAAAGATTCAATGGTGGCAGCTAACAGATCGTGATATTCCCAGGGCAGAGACAAATGGATAGCTAACTAGGCTGCTACATAATTTATGCAATTGGAAAAAATTAAGAACAGGTTAACACATAGCTAATGACAGATGTTGCAGTCAGAAATAATGGCTACTTACCAGTTTTTAAATATAGGCTATGTCATATACTCAGGATGGTACCCCCTTTGATGGAAGGGTAGGCTGGGTTAACTTGAAGAAGGAACTTGTGCAGTTCCAAAGCACGTATATACAGAAAATATTTCTCCAATTGTTCCCAAAATAATCATGTAGCCATTTGCCAAGGTAACTGTGTACTGGATAGTGAGAAATATGATGATTGTTTAAATACTATTAGATATGGGGTTTGAGATGACAATGATACCTAGAGATATGATACGTCACCATACTTCACCAATGAGAACGGGGGCTTACGGAGACTAAGTGAAAATATAATTCTAGTTTGAGGTCATCTTGCAGGTCTGTGGACCCACCATGTGGTCACTTGCTTAGGGAGCTGACATACTGGGAGGCCATAAATTGATATGCTTAGTATGAGTAGTGGACTCTATTGCATATAAACACTGTAGACTTCTCATTTTCCTTTAACTCCCTCTCAAGGTCAGCAACTTCTCCATGCTGAATCGTCCCTCAGTTTCAAGATTTGATGAAATGCCCCATCACCTAGCATGATGTTTGGTAGCCTGAGCAACTGACAAAGGACTAGACAACACAATCTGAATACTTGCATGAGTTAACTTCCCATAGAGGAAATTTTGACAATAGGAAATGGAAGACTGGAATAAATTAAGCTGATACATTTTCCCTCCCGTCATGGATTGAATTGTGTCCCCCAAAAATATGTGTATCAGTTTGGTTAGGCCATGATTCCCAGTATTGTGTGATGGTCTACCATTTTGTGATTTTCCTATGTGTTGTAATTCCTAATGTCTGCCTGTGGTTAATGAGGCAAGATTAGATTATGTTAAAGAGGATTAGAGTGGGATGTAACACCCTTGCTCAGGTCACATCCCTGATCCAATGTAAAGGAAGTTTCCCTGAGTGTGGCCTGCACCACCTTTTATCTTACAGAAGAGAGAAAAGGAAAGGGAAGTAAGCAGAGAAGCGGGACCTCACACCACCAAAAAAAGAGCAGGAGCTTGTGTCCTTTGGACCCAGGGTCCCTACGTTGAGAAGCTCCTAGTCCAGGTCAAGATTGATGACAAGGACCTTCCTCCAGAGCTGACAGAGAAAGAGTAAACCTTCCCCCTGAAACTAATGCTCTGAATTTGGATTTCTAGCCTCCTAGACTGTGAGAGAATAAATTTCTCTTTGTTAAAGCCATCCACTTGTGGTATTTCTGTTATAGCAGTACTAGATGACTAAGACACCGCCTTTCCCCTTTCATGGACTGCTCTGTGGTATGGTTTCTTCTTGCAAATGTTTCAGAGAAATCCTACATGCCAAGCAAACATACCTTCAGAGCAATCAGTTGTTGTCATCATAGTGAATTGTTTTTTGTCTTTAATTGTCTCACTTCCTCCCTGCTCCTCAACCTCACCACCCTAGACTGGGACTTTCCAAATAGTGTCAACACGTTGATCCTTGTCTCAGGCTCTGCTATAGGGTAGCAAGATTAAGACACTCTATGAATATTTGAAAAACAACCTTTCTCCAGCCAGCTAGATGTTTTGTAGACTCTTTGACATGTTCTGTTCCGTCAAAGTTACTGAGTGTGAAAATTACAGATTTAGTACATTTTTTTTAAATTTGACACTGATTATATTCTAATTAGCCACTGTGGGAAAAACATCATAAAAATCCATATCAAAATGCCGTTAATTTTGTCTCTCACTCACTTCTTTTAGAGATTTTTAAGTAGGTAAGTTGAATAAGAATGTACGCACTCACCTCCTTTTCACAACTACTCCGTTACTTTCACTTTTAAATTTTAGTGTTCATGACTAAGCACTGTATCAATTTCTCTATCTCTTCCAGCAAGGCCATTTCCTCTCCTTCTGTCTCAGTTACTGTCTGTGTTATCAGGTAACTTAAGGTAATAAAAAATTTAGCTCATTCATACAGCATATACCAAATAATTTGTGTGATAGGTTTAAAAAGGTAAGTGAGCTGACAGCCATCAGGGCCAAGTTCACAGAAGGCTGATTAATAGAGGGTGATGAGTAAGAGCAGGATGGAGCCCTGCCCCCAGGTGGACAGCTAGTCAGAAATTATTCTGGAGATACTCTGGAAGAATGCTGGAGGATGGCAAAGAGTTTTAACAAAAAGCCACAATTGCTGCCTGTCATGGATTGACTTATGCCCCCCAAAAAACGTGTGTATCAATTTGGCTGGGCCATGATTCCCAGTATTGTGTGGTTCGCCATTTTGTGATTGTAATTTTATGTTAAAGAGAATTAGGGTGGGATTGTAACACCCTTACTAAGGTCACATTCTTGATCCAATGTAAAGGAAATTTCCCTGGGATGTGGCCTGGACCACCTTTTATCTTACAAGAGATGAAAGGAAAAGGAAGCAAGCAGAGAGGGGGATCTCATACCACCAAGAAAGTAGTGCCAGGAGCAGAGCGTGTCCTTAGGACCCGGGGTCTCTGCGCGAAGAAGCTCTTAGTCTGGGGGAAGGTTGATGAGAAGGCCAACAAAGAGGGAGAAAGACTACCCCTGGAGCTGATGCCTTGAATTTGGACTTCTAGCCTACCAGACCATGAGAAGATAAATTTCTCCTTGTTAAAGCCATCCACTTGTATTTCTGTTACAGCAGCACTAGATGACTAACACATTGCCCAACAGATATAAATGCCAAAAGGAAAGACCAAGAAGAGTGGTGTGTTTTTACTACAAGTTAGAGGGCATCTGTGTTAAGTGAGAAATAAGCTCTACCCAAGTTAAGATGCCTTTGCTCACTACAAATTGTATGTCACTTTTCTGGTTTTAAAGGGCAAAAATAGTCCAACAGATAGGTTCTAATATGGCATAAATAATTATAGCCCAATAAAACTCAGTATTTCATAAGTGTTCTACATAATCAGTAAGAACAAGGGAGCTGGAGGGTTGGAATCTGAAGATCATTGGTCTTTTAGTGAGCCTGGAAAACTTGTCAATTTGGTCATGGATGAGGCCTTTGAAAGTATGTAAATAGCAGCATTGACCTCATCTGCTTTTATATTAATGATCTAGAATTCACTGCCAATTCAGAACTTATTGGAAGGAACTTTAGCAGCAAGAAACTATAGTGGCTAAGCTTACCTTGAAGTCAGCGCAAATGGTAGAAGCCCATTGTACTGTGACAGATGAATTCACTGCCAACAAAGATCACATTGCTGAAGTTTGAGGCAAGTCTGAAAATATCTAGGATCCCTGTCATTAAAAGAGATTAACCATTCATCAGTTTAACGAAAGTTGAAGGAAACATTTATTTCATGTGTTGAAGAAACTTGAAGAAATTAACCTCAATGCAGGCAACGTGATTAAGGCAAGAAATTCCTTAACATTTCCAGTACTAATACAATTTAGTATTATGAAACTATCTGACAAAGAAAACTATGCTTTGCAATGTTAGAGTGTAAATTACCATGTGTATTATACACCACCCAAAAACTAAAGTAGTGAGAATTACTCAATCACAAATCGAAGTTGTCTTTTATTATTTCCAGATTGCCCAGCAAATAAAAACTTTTTTAATCTTGCAATTAAAATTATTCAGTTTAACATGACTGAAGTTTGGAAACGTATCAAGTACTTTTTATACTATATAGAAAATTTATAATTCAACAGTAAGATTACGGAAGAAAACTCTAATATCATCAAGTATATAAAATAATATTTAGTGTAAAGTTCAAGTAAAACTTAATTTGTGTTGTAAAGCATAATTTTTGTTAGATTTATTTAGAATAAAGTGTGTGATATTATAAATTACAATATTTTATAATAATAAAATACATGCTTTGTATTAAGTAGAACTTGGTGCATTTTATATTCTGTAATTTACTAAAGAGAGATAGGATGACATATAATTATATATTGGCTGTGTATAATGATTGAATTAGATAATGGCTAAAACATACCACAAGTATAAATTTAAGACTATTTTCAAAAGTGAGTATTAAAAAATTGCTTTATCCAGTTCAAAGTAAAACAGTAATACATTCTAAATAAAAGTTATACAATTATATTTTATTTCATAAACCTAGCAAATCACTTAAGAGTATTAGATATACATTCCCAAACATGTTTTCCAATTAATATGCTTTTTCTGATTCTATTCCTTTGGACTTGAATGCCCTATGATTAGTAATCACCTGGCAAAATCTTATTAAAATGCCTCATTCTTTATTGATTCATCCATTAATTTATTAAATACACAATTATTGAGTGAACACTATGTGACAGGCACTACTCTAAGTTCAGTGAATAGGACAGGAAAGTCTGTTGTCATTGTGGAAATAATGTTTTAGTAAAGGACTCAGAAATTACCAAGTAAACATATGATTAATTATGAGCTCTATGATGAAAAAATGATTAGGATAATGGGTAGAATCATGGGTAGAACCATGGAACTATGTAAATAGGGTGATCAAGAGTGGACTTTCTGAGGAGATGATATTTAGACAAAAATCCAAAAGAAGTGAGATCTGAGAGTGAGTGCAAAGGCCCTGAGGTAAGAATATTCAAACAACAGAAAATACTTTATGGAGAAAGCAGAGTAATTCATAAGGAGAGTATTAACAGATGAGTTTGGATAGCTATGCAGGATTTGGATAACATAGGGCCTTGCAGATTATAGTGGAGATTGAGTTTTTTTCTAGAAATTTGGACAAGATTTTGATGAAATCTCAAGAATAATTTCAAACTATCACTCTTGCTGCTATGGGAAGAATAGGTTGTAGAGGTCAAAAACAGAAAAAGAGAAACTAATGGTCTGAATGAAATATATTTCTTGCAGTAGGACCACAGTCACGAGGTTTAAGAGAGAGGTGGTGTGAAGGAGTGCAATAGAATTCATCTTTAGTGCTTTCTTTTGGGCTGTGGGTGAGATGCATGTGCTGGTATGTGTGGACGTGCTTTGTGATGGTGGGTGTGGTTGTGGAAGTAATGTTAGTGATAACTAGGAGAAAGTTGGTGAGGGTGAAATATACTTTTCTGAAGACCATCAATCAGACTATTCAACTGTTCCAGAATTGTGTTATTTGCTGATTCTTAAATAATTCTGAATGGTCGTCCTTGTTCTCAACTCTCCTTGTAAATTGACTGGGACTGAGAAGGATAGGATAGACCAATGTTGTAAAGAAGTTCAATGCAAGGGATATGGTGTGAGTTAGGGAGTTAGGTCATGAAATTCCAGTAAAAAATAAGTGAGGGAAACAATTGCCTAAAACTCAATCTGTGGTGGAGACAATGCTGTGTGTTCACCAAATCATTTCCTTTTTTCTTGAGACCACAACTAGATACTTCCATTCTTTCCTAAAGTTAGTTGACTGAGTTCTGTTCATTGAAAGATGGGAGAAAGTGATTATGCCACTTCCAGACCTGGTCCCTGTCATCTACTCTGTGACCTTGTGATGGTTAAGACTGTGTGTCAACTTGGCTGGGCCATGATTCTCAGTGTTTTCGCAGTCGTATAATGTTGTGATCACTTCCCTGTTGAGATCTGGTATGTGATCACCCCCATGATGGGATCTGCTGTGAGTAGCCAATCAGTTGAAAGGGAGTTTCCTTGGGTGTGTGGCCTGCATTGAGTATAAGTGGACATTCTGGCAGAGCTCTGGGGCTTTTTGCTTTTCTGGATCCTGCAGCTGGCTCCTGTTCATCTGACCTCTGGGTCTTGGGACTTGAGCTAGCAGCTTACCTGCAGTCTTGCCTGCCAATCTTGGGATTTGTCAATCTTCCCAGCCTGTGAGTAAGTGCCCTGCCGTCTGACCCGCCGATCTTGGGTTTGCCAGCCCCTGTGGCTACGTGATTCGGGAGAAACCACTGTCTTAACCCACCGACTTGAGTTGTTCCAGCCTGTACAACAGTGCGAGCCATTTCCTTGATATAAATCTCTCTATATGTATGTATTTATACACTTTACTGGTTTTGTTTCTCTAGATAACCCAGCCTAAGACAGACCTTCACACAACCTCAAATAGAAGATGAAATAGAATAATCACATGAAGCAGAGCCCTCCCTCCCGACAACAAACCTGCATTAGACAATCTCATAGCCAGAAATAAACCATTATTATATAAATATAGTAAGATTTGGAGTTGTTTATGATAGCAGTTGGCTAATCTTGTATAATATGGCATCCTAAGTCTATTCTTTCTCTGAAATACCTGCAGTGAAAATGAAAACTGTTTTATGCTCTACAGCTAAGAATTAGGGCAAAAGATACCCAAGTAAATGCAATCTAGAAAGTGGTAGCATTTTTCTTTTTATGCCAACAATACGTTGTTGTTAGTACTCTCTTAAGCTCAAAGAGGAGAAGCATGTTAATTTCTTTAATAGAAAATGAGAGTCCTGAAACCATTCCATAAAAGTTGTTTCTGGTAGCTGAAATGGATGTGCTAAACTGACCTCTTAAAAATGTGACATGTAAGAATCATTTTTCCAAAGAAAATTTCATCCTAGGGGCTTACATATGCAGAACTATTTACATACTCCATTTCCTTATCACCAACTATTTTATTAATTATTAAATACTAATAAGCATAAACATAAGTGAGTAGGGATTTCAAATGGGCACTCATTAACTTCCTCTAGACTGATAATGCAGTGTTGTTTTACAGTATACATATTATATATGATCAAATGTTTCTTTTTGCAATTTTATGTTAATTATTAAACTTAGAATTAACCATTATGAATAATTATGAACATCTTCTACTCATTGCCACTATCATTCATGTTTTTATGACAAGGACTACATCTTAGAAAAAACCTCATTACACTCAAATATCATTTGTGTGCTTTGGGCTTCAACCTTTTAAAGTATCAGAGAAATAACTAACATATTCAATAGCAATTTAAAAACTGCCTTAATGAAAATAATGAGAAAAACAAAATTTTCATTATTTTTTCTGGATACTTTTTGTTATTTTTCAAACACTATTTTCCTGATATAGTTAGTATAAAAATAAACACAAACATTGATTTTTTTTTCTGTAAATGATGTTGAACATTAATATAAAATAATATTTGTGTAACAGGGAAGTTTTGTTGCATTATCAACCTACAATTTGTTCCATCAGAAAAACTGTTACTTTGATTTATTTTTAATAAACAACAGGAAAAATTGTTTGGTTAAGAGAAAGACAAAGCATAATGGAAAATGTAAATCCATCGTCTTACAGTTCATGATAATTAATCATATGAGCACAGTCAAATCTATGCTTTCCAAAGTAAAAAAGTTGAAGGGAAAAAAAAAAGATGCATTTAGTTTGGAAAAAATTTTGTTGATATGGAAAAAATAGCTGTCTATTTGGAAACAAAATAGCTCTGAGCATTGTTCATATAGGAAACAATTCTCCACAAGATAGAATTAGGAGCGGTAGGAAGAATTTGTAGGGAGAGAGTTTCAGGCTTTGTATTTAAAAAATGACAATTAGAATCATCTGAAATTGAAATGAGTTGCTTGCTGAGAGAGCAAGTTGCATTTCACTGCATATAAATAAAGGAGATGATAATTTGCTGGAGCTGTTGTGGATGCATGTGTAGACTGAACACAGAATTGAACTAGATGACCTCTAGGGTACCTTTTGAAGTTCCTGATGGCACAAATGGTTAAGCACTTGACTACTAGCCAAAAGGTTGATGGTTCAAATCCACCCATAAGGAAGGGAATGTGGGTTGGTGGGTAGCTATCTGCTCCTGGGGGGGTCAGTCTCTGAAGAGGCTGACAGCTGAAGGTTGTCCAATGTAACCACCCTCTCAGCACCTAGAACAACCACATCTTTGAAGGGAGATCAAAGCAGCACGCCTCCATATCCATCATCCCGATAGAAAGTTAATTAACTGATTGGTGTTATCATGACACGAATGCTCCTTTCTCACCTCCAACCATCATTAAAAACCTGTTACACCCACAAATACCTCACATGAGTGGTGTGTGTGTGTGTGTGTGTGTGTGTGTGTGTGAGTGAGTGAATCAAGAAACAGTGACTGTATTTCAGTCTATGGCTAACATTTTTTTTTTGCAGAAAATCAGCATATATGGCGCAGGAATGTTGATCCATAAACGGAAGTACTTCAAGGGTAGCCTTGGGTCTAGTGCTCAGAGAAAATGTAAGTACTCAGGCCTCCCCCAAATATCTGGAGAGATTGGAAGGAAATTGGGGCGTTTACCAGGAATTCATGCCCATTTAGTTTAGGTAACCCTA